AGCAAACCGTTTGCCTGAGGGCACGCACTTTCTAGTAGGCTTAAATTAAAGATATAGCAAGTAGGAGTGGCAATATCGTCCGCTATTATCCATCCAAGTTGTCAGACCCCAGTGGCTTGTCATTGTTGATCGATAACAATAATTTTTTCACCTCTTCCACACTCACTTTATGGAATTCAAAATTACAATGCTTGTCTTTCATAATTTGCTCAGATATACTTAGATGTGTAGTGTCAGCATTTGTTTGCTAATCTTGCCAGTGAAAAAATAATTAAAGTAGTTGGCAATATCAGTGGGTTTTGTGATGAATTAGCCATCTGATTCAATTAATGATGGAGCTGAGTTTGCCTTTTTGCCAAACATTTTGTTTTATCCTTTGTAAAGATAATCCTTCCACCTGACAGGTGTGGCATATTAAGAAGCTGATTAAACAGCATGATCATTAGACAGGTGCACATTGTGCTGGGGACAATGAGGAGTATCTTTGTTCGTAATATAGCCATTTTGTCAGGAAAAACTCATTCTGTTTGCCTTGGCCTGGCTCCCAAGTGGGTGGTGGACCTATGCCTTCTCAGGCTCACCCATGGCTGCGCCCCTACCCATTCATGTGATATCCATAGATTAGGGCCTAATGAATTTATTTCATTAATAGATTTCCTTATGTGAACTGTAACTCAGCAAAATCTTTGAAATTGTTGCATGTTGCGTTTAGATTTTTGTTCAGTATAATTGGATAAACTATTGACTCTTCTATAGCATGCCATGGAACAGAAGCCTTTGGGTTTAAACAGGTCTTCAGGAAATTCATTTGGAATGATAGGTGGTATTCATTTTGAACTGCAAGTCCACCTGATGCTTTTGTTCTCTGTAGTGTTGCATATTTAATCTGTGGTCTCTTTTCCCTCAAAATGAACTTCTTTATGACAGAGTCAAGATTAGACAAATAGTCTATAGGAGGAGGCAGTGGTAATATGGAACTCATAAAATCGATATGAGGGAGGACATTCATTTTAATAATTGAGATTCTATTATACAAAGAAGTGGGCATAACAGACAATCTTTTTCTGTCTTTTTGAACCTTTTGAAAGGTTTCTAAATAGTTATTTGTGCAAGTAGTGTGAATAGAGGGGGATATGGTAAGGCCTAAGTAGGTGATTTGATTCTTCACTGGGATAATGGGTGGTAGTTGCACGCTTCCCATAGCAGTGTTAAGAGGTAGTAGAGCTGATTTGGACTCGCTGATCTCGTAACCAGACCATGAGCTGAATGCTGTGAAAATAGACATTATTGGTTGGAGGGATTTCTCAGCGTTTGCGACATAGAGCAATATATCTGCATAGAGAGAAATTGCTTGTTCAGTTTGTTTGATATGTGAGGAAGCCAAGTTTTGAAGCTCATATATCCTGACCAAACAGGCTTTATTAAGGGTCATCAGGCAGCTGATAACATGCACCGCCTGTTTCATGTGGTTGCTGAGGCTCCCAATCTGGATACCCCTTGTGCAGTGTTATCATAGATGCAGAGAAAGCCTTTGACCGCTTAGAGTGGGAATATGTATGGCTTGTTCTTGAACATTTTGGTTTTGGGAATAGATTTATACATATGATCCACACCATGTGTGAACCCTTCTGCTGTTATATCTACATAAACAGTGGGGAGATCAAGTATTTGATACACTGCCGATTTTGCAGGTTTTCCTACTTACAAAGCATGTAGAGGTCTGTAATTGTTATCATAGGTACACTTCAACTGTGAGAAACGCAATCTACAACGAAAATCCAGAAAATCACATTGTATGATTTTTAAGTAATTAATTTGCATTTTATTGCATGACATAAGTATTTGATACATCAGAAAAGCAGAACTTAATATTTGGTACAGGAACCTTTGTTTGCAATTACAGAGATCATACGTTTCCTGTAGGTCTTGACCAGGTTTGCACACACTGCAGCAGGGATTTTGGCCCACTCCTCCATACAGACCTTCTCCAGATCCTTCAGGTTTCGGGGCTGTCGCTGGGCAATATGGATTTCAGCTCCCTCCAAAGATTTTCTATTGGGTTCAGGTCTGGAGACTGGCTAGGCCACTCCAGGACCTTGAGATGCTTCTTACGGAGCCACTCCTTAGTTGCCCTGGCTGTGTGTTTCAGGTCGTTGTCATGCTGGAAGACCCAGCCACGACCCATCTTCAATGCTCTTACTGAGGGAAGGAGGTTGTTGGCCAAGATCTCGCGATACATGGCCCCATCCATCCTTCCCTCAATACGGTGCAGTCGTCCTGTCCCCTTTGCAGAAAACATCCCCAAAGAATGATGTTTCCACCTCCATGCTTCACGGTTGGGATGGGGTTCTTGGGGTTGTACTCATCCTTCTTCTTCCTCCAAACACGGCGAGTGGAGTTTAGACCAAAAAGCTCTATTTTTGTCTCATCAGACAGTGAAGAAAGTAGAGGAGGATGGGTCAAGGGTGAGGGATCCTGAGAGGATCCCTGTGAGTAGTGGATCTGTGCCAGCACAGAGAGATAGGCCAACGAGTGATACAGTGAGGGAAAAAAGTATTTGATCCCCTGCTGATTGTGTACGTTTGCCCACTGACAAACAAATGATCAGTCTATAATTTTAATGGTAGGTTTATTTGAACAGTGAGAGACAGAATAACATCAAAGAAATCCAGAAAAACGCATGTAAAAAATGTTATAAATTGATTTGCATTTTAATGAGGGAAAAAAGTATTTGACCCCTCTGCAAAACATGACTTAGTACTTGGTGGCAGAACCCTTGTTGGCAATCACAGAGGTCAGACGTTTCTTGTAGTTGGCCACCAGCTTTGCACACATCTCAGGAGGGATTTTGTCCCACTCCTCTTTGCAGATCTTCTCCAAGTCATTAAGGTTTCGAGGCTGACGTTTGGCAACTCGAACCTTCAGTTCCCTCCACAGATTTTCTATGGGATCAAGGTCTGGAAACTGGCTAGGCCACTCCAGGACCTTAATGTGCTTCTTCTTGAGCCACTCCTTTGTTGCCTTGGCCGTGTGTTTTGGGTCATTGTCATGCTGGAATACCCATCCACAACCCATTTTCAATGCCCTGGCTGAGGGAAGGAGGTTCTCACCCAAGATTTGACAGTACATGGCCTTGTCCATCGTCCCTTTGATGCGGTGAAGTTGTCCTGTCCCCTTAGCAGAAAAACACCCCCAAAGCATAATGTTTCCACCTCCATGTTTGACGGTTGGGATGGTGTTCTTGGGGTCATAGGCAGCATTCCTTCTCCTCCAAACACGGCGAGTTGAGTTGATGCCAAAGAGCTCCATTTTGGTCTCATCTGACCACAACACTTTCACCCAGTTCTCCTCTGAATCATTCAGATGTTCATTGGCAAACTTCAGACGGGCCTGTATATGTGCTTTCTTGAGCAGGGGGACCTTGCGGGCGCTGCAGGATTTCAGTCCTTCACGGTGTAGTGTGTTACCAATTGTTTTCTTGCTGACTATTGGTCCCAGCTGCCATGAGATCATTGACAAGATCCTCCCATGTAGTTCTGGGCTGATTACTCACCGTTCTCATGATCATTGCAACTCCACGAGGTGAGATCTTGCATGGAGCCCCAGGCCGAGGGAGATTGACAGTTATTTTGTGTTTCTTCCATTTGCGAATAATCGCACCAACTGTTGTCACCTTCTCACCAAGCTGCTTGGCGATGGTCTTGTAGCCCATTCCAGCCTTGTGTAGGTCTACAATCTTGTCCCTGACATCCTTGGAGAGCTCTTTGGTCTTGGCCATGGTGGAGAGTTCGGAATCTGATTGATTGATTGCTTCTGTGGACAGGTGTCTTTTATACAGGTAACAAGCTGAGATTAGGAGCACTCCCTTTTAAGAGTGTGCTCCTAATCTCAGCTCGTTACCTGTATAAAAGACACCTGGGAGCCAGAAATCTTTCTGATTGAGAGGGGGTCAAATACTTATTTCCCCCATTAAAATGCAAATCAATTTATAACATTTTTGACATGCGTTTTTCTGGATTTTTTTGTTGTTATTCTGTCTCTCACTATTCAAATAAACCTACGATTAAAATTATAGACTGATCATTTCTTTGTCAGTGGGCAAACATACCAAATCAGCAGGGGATCAAATACTTTTTTCCCTCACTGTATGTGCTTCAGTAAGGTTGACTGCTTAGCGTTCATAGCAGTGGTTATCAACTGTACCGCAGAAATAGAATGTAAATCACAGCAAATAGATGTTGTGGTGGCAGCTGCAGAGAAGTATTTGGGTATATAAGATTTGACTTCAGAAGAGTTAGAGGGTGTGTTGAGTGGTGGTGTCCCGTTCTCCCAGGCCGATGGCATGTTGCAGGAGCAGAAAGGGTCAAAGTAGGGGAATGGGATGGTGTATTTAAAAAAAAAAATATATATATATATATATATATATATATATATATATATATATATATATATATAGTTCTATATTGGTGTAGGATTAGTTGGTGGTGCAATTATTATTAATATTAAAATGTTGTATCATCATTTTTATTTTTGTATCACAAAATGTAAAATGATTGAACACATATAAACGCGGCATGCACAAACAAAATGTGCAAACGCCATTATACCAAAGAAGAAGAAGAACAACAAGAAGAACAGAAGGTCCAACCTACTTTCTTCAAAGGAGGGCTGAGGCTGAGCAGTGCTCTGCATTATGCGCTCGCCAATCCGCTACCCTCCCTCTATTCAGTGTGCTGTTTACAGTTTTTCTTGCTCTGCAAAAATAACTGGCGACAGGCAGCTGGCTCCATTACGCGCGTTGCTACGCCAAACTTTACTTGACAAACATGGACGTTTCTTTTAGGCCTACATTATGTATTTTTAGGGAGATTTGCGCTTTGATAGATTGACCTGCTAAAACTTTATTTTTGACAATAAGAGAAGCTTAAATGCCCCCACATTACTACATTTTTTTCTGCCAGCTGGATCACAGGATTGTATGATAATTTTTGAAGTTCAAGATGCAGTTCCGAACGGTCCTTGAAGTGAAAGTTGTGGATGTGCAGAAGAGGCGGAATCCCTCCAAACATTATGTGAGTACTCTATTTGTTATGTGAGTACTCTATTTGTCTCTGCCAGTGTCAGACACTTGGCTTGTGCTTCATGGTCATAAACAATGAATTGAAGTTTTGTCTGAGCTATCACTGTAAATACGTGCACATGCTTATTCTTTTATTAGACGTTTGTGGTGATTCTGCTGTCAAAATAAGTAAGAACTTCAGTTATCCATATTGCAGAATTAAATGCCCCCTGGACAAGTGGGAACAATGCTAGTCTCTATGGAGGAAAATAAATGAGTCCACCAGGTCCAATAGGATTAATTAAGCAGAGTTAATTAATTAAGCAGAGAGAGGATCAATGTAACCAGTACTCCCTGAGGTCCCTAAACCCAGTGCAAAGCCTTCCCCCTGGGGTGTCACATTAGGAGATGCTGCTGGCCTGGGAAGTCCAGTGAGGTAAACATAAATCAAATCTCATTATCTATGAGCTAAGCAACTGAAAAATGCTTATCCTGTTTTAGAGAGAGGAAAGAAGCAAACCTTTGTCTTTTGTGTCCAAGGTTCCAGTGTGACTTCCTTGCATGAGAGAGGGACACTGGACACAATAACTCAGAGAGCCCTTGGCAACTACATTATTACCGCTGTACTTAGCGATTGAAGACCGTTTCTTTCAGATAATTTCAATCACCTCCAGTCCAAAAATAAATGTTGTTAAAACTAAAGGATTATCTATACTATATATAAACCAAATGGGACATTGCCAAGTATTGACAACCCTTTGTTTCACTTGCCTTGGACAAAGTCCTATGTCCTTGTGATTTTAGCTAGTAAGAATAAGTAATAACAGTCTCCACATACCATAGCTTTAATGTCAGGTGTTTTTGCTTAATGTCCTGCCAGCATGGAGATATTCTGTGGAATCTGACCTTTGACAAAGTCTTGAGAATGTGCTAGCCATGCAGATATTATGCTGACTTGCGTGATGTGGATATGGTCAGATACCATGTTGGATTTTATTCAGTCCAATAACAACACCAGAATGTGATTGTTTTGTACAGATGTAGGATCTTAATTTGATCATCATGTGCCAGGAGAACTTTCCTAAAATGCAGGGATTGTAAAACATGTAGTGAATATTGCTGCAGGATTATTTTTCTACTGTATCAAACTGTCTCAAATTAAGATCCTACATCTGTATTGTACATTCAGCAGTATTATATTGGGCTTGAGAGGACCTTTCTTGATGATGTGTTGAATGAGTCTCTAGTGCCCAAAACACTGCCATAATAAATATACTAAATGTGTGTCATACGAACAAATGAGGTGTCTGAACTGACATTACCATTTACTGCACAGCTAAACATGTACTCTCTATGCATTCTCTTAGACATTCTCAAAGGGTACTGTATTTACCACACTTTAAGGCACTGTTTTCTAAACACATAATCCAAAGCATTTGGTCATGCCGTCAGCACTCAATTAACTGCACAGGAACATGTTCCACCCTGCAACACACTATTTCTGTAGTGAACTATGCTGTAAAATCAAGACTTGATTTCAAATAGGACACTTACATCTTTACAGATTGTAGCAATGTGTAACAACACTCAGAACTCACATGCAAATGCTGAACAATAGCATATGTTCCTGCATCTGCAGTAGAAGAAAGGGTGTGCCCAAGTGTTTGTGGCACATAGTGAGTGCCAGGGAGAGCTCCCACTCTAGCCATATAGTTATAGCCAACAGCCCCCTGTGGAGCTTATGCCATGGCTGTAGACTAGAGTCTGACAAAACAAGATTGTAAAATACTAGAAAATGTATTCTAACTAGCTCGAGTTACTATCAAAGTAAGAGCCAATGAAGTGTGAATATTGGATTATTTGCTTGAATTGTTTGAATATCAACCCAGAATAAAGTGGCAAATGGTTAAAACCTGTTGACCCCCTCTATGACCCCACAACAGGATTCAAATGAGGTGTGTGCAGACAGACAGGCATAATGAGTAAACTTGACCTCTTGAAGTTTAGTCTGAAGGGAATACTCTATGTAAATTTGGGGTCAGTCAAAACTAAGTGTTATTATGTGTCTTTGATGAATGTGACTTTGTTGTTAATTAATCTTCCTTGTTTGTTTTCTTCTGTAGGTGTACCTCATCAATGTCACATACTCTGACTCCACCTCTCATGTCATCTCCAGGAGATACAGCAAATTCTTTGATCTCCAGGTAAGTTCCACCATAGCACAATGATGTAGAACCATTCTCCAGTAGCTGTTTGATCATGTACTCAATCCTCTTAAATTTATAGTAACGGGAACTTGTATTAAAAACAGTGAATCTGTACGCTTTAACATCTCACGCAGCTATTTTTCTTTCCATGCATACATTTCTTCACTCACCTTTTCCCAACCCTGTCCATAGAGGTTCTATGGATTTCTTATCAAACTGACCGGCTGTCCTCTAAATGGATCATAATACTTATGATATATTACAATATGTTGCAAAAGACATTGCTATGAGGTTCTCTATGAGATGAGACCAACATGATTTTTTTGTGATGGCCATCTGGTGCTCAATGGGGAGTCAAACCTCAATGCTCTCAGTGTATTTCAATCAGGGGAAGCCCCAACTGAAAGATCCCATTAAAGACCACTGGTGCCTGACGGAAGTAGGGAAAATCCCATCGCACATGCGTCATACGTCCTGCAGAATAGTGGTGAGAGAGGAAAAAATGACCTCAGGCTGAGAGATTGGATGTGGGGTGAAGTTGCCCCTTAATCGGTTGGAGGGACATCAATGCCCTCGAGAGAAACTTATTGGGCTGCTGATCCCAAACATTCCAATTGAAACCCATAAAGACACATGAATGTGGGGAGGCCACAACTCTGAACAGGGTGGGCTCTCCTGTCTCAGTGATGGTAGGTCTCTGTGAAACACTATCTGAAACTCTCTCATTACATTTTACATTTTAGTTAAATGTCATTTTACAGTTAGCAGAGGCTCTTATCCTGAGCGACTTACACTGTGCTTCTAAGAAGGTAGGTCAGACGACCACATAATGGCCAGTAAAACCTTGTTCTGTCCAGCCAGACTGTATTACAGGTCTCGTGACTGTGATGAAGGCGGCAGAGGAAACCCTTTGTTCCAGGGGCCCTTGCTAATAGCCAGGAAAATCCTGCTATCCTGCTCGGTTTGATGGAAACATAGCTTCTCCCCTGTCTCTGTCTCTGTCTCTGTAAATATTAGTCTTGTCCAGAGATCACTACTGCTGGCTCTGGCTCACTGTCTGTGCTAATCAGTGAGGAGCACCGGTCAACAGCTGTCCACACAAAGAATGGGTGGAGATACTGCCTTTTACAAGTCCCTTATAGGCCTTTGAACATAGTCATACAGGATGGTCCATTAGTCAGTTATGGTGTTGTTTAGCCCTCATATTGTATGCACTGACTGAAAGTATATGGTGTAGATGTATATTTTATCATTGTGGGACAAGGTACAGGAAGAAGGGCAGATTCATTGGATGATCCAGGAAATGGATTCTCCACTTGCCTCTCACAACCACAATTATAACATTACAGTAACAGGGTTAGTTATCTTCACCAACATCTCCAAGTCCTCATCTGAACAATGTTTTGTATTTTTGCGTAAGCAAGTAAGTTTAGAGCTTAATTCTATTGTAGCCCAATTTGAGAATGACAATTTCACACAGGCTTGGTATTTCGTATTTTATTAGGATCCCCATTAGCTGACGCAATAGCAGCTGCTACTCTTGCTGGTGTCCTTTATAGATCTGTAGATGAAAACACTGAACACTGATGGAGTGATTGAGTCTCCTGGACGTCCTTCTTCCAGGCCAGTGAGATTTGCGACCTCCGTGGGGGGTATAGGATCCAGCTGAGGAGACGGCATGCCCAATCCCAACATGCACTGGGTGGAATGAAGGGGAAGTCATGACCAGGAATGAGGGATGGCCACTGGGGAGTGAAATGACCACCAAAGATGATGAGAGAGAGATAAGGGTGCCGTTTCCTGCTACTACATGATCCCCCAGTTGTCCTAGCCTCTCATTCACAGTTTTTAAATTTATTTGTATTTATTTTCTCCCCAATTTCATGACTACGATCTTGTCTCATCACTGCAACTCCCCAATGGGCTCGGGAGAGGCAAAGGTCGAGTCATGCTTCCTCCGAAACATGACCCGCCAAGCCGCGCTTCTTAACACCCACTCGCTTAACCCGGAAGTCAGCTACACCAATGTGTCGGAGTAAACACCGTTCAACTGATGACTGAAGTCAGCTTGCAGGTGCCCGGCCCGCCACAAGGAGTCGCTAGAGCGCCTTGAACCAAGTAAAGCCCCCCCGGCCAAACCCTCCCCTAACCCAGACGACGCTGGGCCAATTGTGCGCTCCCTATGGGACTCCTTGTCACGGCTGGTTGTGACACAGCCTGGGGTTTGATCCCCAGGCTGTAGTGATGCCGCAACACTGAGATGCAGTGCCTTAGACTGCTGTGCCACTCGGGAGGACTTCATTCACAGTTTCTTGCTGTGTTTTGGTGATGTACTGTAGGTTTCCATTAGTTTGTTTTTCAACATACATCATCTAACATTATGACATTTTACTGTACTTTTTTTGGGCTACTAGTGTTGTAGAAATCTAGCAATAGTTAGTATACATGATCCACTCCTTCATTCCTCTCTATTCTATGAAATCTTCTAGTGGCTCGTCTGATTTCTCTCTTCAATTATTGTTTTCTGCTAAGGAGACACAAACCCTGTCTGTTTGAGTTAGTGTTTGTGCCATGGTGCCAACAGACACCTACAGTTCATCTGTGGCTCAGCTATGTTCTCTGTCCTTTAAGCACAATTACACTCATCAATGAGAAGCTGGCAGGGAACAGGAACATGCTTTGCACTCTCTGGCTCGCCATGGGATCATAATATACTTTTTCTATTATGAAATAATTACATCTCAACTCAATACTTTGTAGATGGTGTGTAGTCAGTTGTAACGTGAAGCCGTACATTTTTCATGTGTTTATGAAATTGCCTGTCATAGTTGTTGTCTGTCTTCAAGATGCAGTAGCTCCTGACAGCTAGCGGTGTAGTATTTTTAGCCAGTATTTACTAGCTTAGCTAGTCATTTGTCTTTTAGATAAAGTTTCCCATGGAAGTATGGTGATGGTTTAAGTACACTTACTCCTAATGTTGCCAAACTCTCTAGCACACTCATCAGAGCTCTTTACTGCTCCTCAGTGGCGGCTCCTGAAAAATTCTCAGGAGGGGCAATTTTTCTGATGATTTAGGTGACCTACACACATTTAAAAAAAGATATGTCCAGCAACAACATGAAGACAGGGGCAGCATATAAGTCAATACCAGAAGCATTTATTGACTGATCTCAAAAGTGTTGGCTTACCAGGGTTGGTGGAGCCCTCAGTTTCATCTTTGCCTCGCAAAGCTAACTCAAACACTCCGCAAAACTTCACACACTGGATTAGCCGGCTGAGGATGTGGCGGTTCTTGCTAATGTCGTAGTAAATATATTTGTTATAGTGAATATGGAATATGATATGTTGAGTAAAATGTTGTGCTAATATCTATTTAGGTCAGGAGCTGGTTATAAGTTCTGTTCCTATCCAATAACAATGGACAAAAGGGTCCTATCTTGTCAGCCTTGTCAGCAGGTGGCCAAGGACAACACCCACGCCATAGGCCTCTCAGTTCTTCCAACTCACGAGTTCTTGCTCTGAGGACACACACACACACAAACACACACACACACACATCATCACTGTTAAACACACACACACACACACACATCATCACTGTTAAACACACACACACACACACACACACACACAAAATCCCCTCTCTTAGGCTGAACATTTGAAGACAGAGAACCCGACTCAGAGCCAATGCAACAGTGACAGTAGCCTGGAGGTGACCTCGCCCAACTCATCAGGACCAATCAGAAGATCAGAACTACTAGATTGAACCTACTTCATTTATTGCATAAAATGTCTGCACACAATGTTTCGGGGCTCTCTTCAGATAATAATAATAATAATAATAATAATATGCCATTTAGCAGACGCTTTTATCCAAAGCGACTTACAGTCATGCGTGCATACATTTTTGTGTATGGGTGGTCCCGGGGATCGAACCCACTACCTTGGCGTTACAAGCACCATGCTCTACCAGCTGAGCTACAGAAAGTGGATACTCATGGATGCGCATTGCAATTGTAAAATGTCAACACAATTGGAGACACCACGTCATTTTTGGAGACATGTTATTGACAGTAAACTATTGTAGATGCGACTGCTAACTAAATAAAACATTTTAGCTGGCTAGCTAATCATCTTAGCTAAATGTGGGGCAAACAATTCAGTTATTTACCGTTAATTTGAGGGATTGGGGTGAAAGAAATCGAGTTACATAGTGATACTTTACGATATACTGTATTGACAATATCGCAATATTTTAGCGCTAGTTGGCTGTACCTGCACCAAAACACCATTATTGTTCCTTCATAGCTTGTTCTCAATCTTTTCACATTGGGAGCCAATTTGTTTTCAGCACTTTTATTTCCATGACTGATCAAAACTCGTTCTCATGGCTTTCTGATCCCTCTGCAACAGACATATGGTGCGCAATAAAATCACAGTATCGAATCGCAATACGTATAGAATCATGAGACTCGCAATGCTGATGCATATATCTTATCGTGAGGTTCCTGGCAATTCCCAGCCCAAGTTCATTTGCCACAACAAATCTCTTCGCTAGCAAACGCGATGTCTTCTCCAAAACGGCAATGTGTCTCCAGCAATGTTTACTTTTTTGACGTTCTATGGCATCTCCAATTTCCAAGCATATATGACCACATGTAATATTTTGGTAAGTGATGCAAATAGTGAACTATGTAGGGCCAGGATGTAAAATATATGTAGCTGCAGCAATTTCTCTTATCTGATATGGTAAGTAATGGGGCTTAATTTATAGCTCCCTAAGAGTTTGACGAACGGGTCCGTGAACGCGATTCCAGATATATTTACCTCTGAATAAACTGCCTTTATTACACCATATCCACATCCAGTAAACTTGTGATTATCAACACTAACCTCATCGTTGTGACGGCGGACAGCTAGCCTGTATCCCTCGTCATCCAGTTGAGTGAGTGGCAATGTCTTTTTTCGTTCGTACCAATTTTTGGAAAATCCTCGGGTGTAGGACTTTCCGCCTTTAGTAGAAACCTGTTGAATTATTAAATTTGGTGTGGGAGGTCCTAATTGTTTCGTTGCCAATTTATCTTCATTTGTTCGCCGACAAAAAGGAACTTCTTTCAAACAATCCACTCTTTTCTCAGTTACGTTCATGGTTACGTAACGTATGACGAAAGCGCGTAAGTGCAAGCCCACAGACACCCATTGAGATTGTATTGAAGGCTCTGAAATTTGAAAAAAATAGATTTTACATGGGAGTCTATGACAGACTTCTGGGCGATTTTCAACCTGACTGAAATCGCCCCAAAAGGGGGGGGAGCCATTTGAAGCACGACTTTAGCCTGATTCGACATTTAGTGGCAGTGTGGCACTGTGGCAGATCAGACGTATAGATTACAACACTGATAACTACTGTTGCCGTGATATAATTGATTAGAAAAAAAATCCCTTCCTTTTCCCGTTTGGCAGTGCGTCGCCCATATCGCCCTATTGAACAGGCCGCCCCTGCTGCTCCTCATGGATGCAATCATAAATCACTAGAAACCATTTTCCCATCCGGTTCACTCTTCCCTCATCTTTTGCTGCCTTCACAGTTTGTACTCTGTGGAGTGTAAAAACACATAATAAATCATCACATTTCTCACCAGTTCCTGAAATGTAGCTCAATAAAGGCTTTAATTTTGTTGGGTGTAAAATGATGCTGAGCTTGCATTCCTACAACATCATCTCAGGTGTGTCTGTCTGAGGGAAATGTTTTGACCCACACATTTTAAGCTACGCAGAAATGATCCTGAGTCAAACAGAGATTCTACCCTAAGTAATCTTCCCCGCTCCACACCCTTGGACCACAGAAGACATAACACAGAGATCATGACATTCTACTGGGGGATTGTGGCATATGCAAGTTGGCCCACTTTCCCTTCGCTCTCCGCTCGAATGGAAACTCCTCTAAAGGTCCCATAGTCACCTTATTTTTGGGTTGAGGAGTTGGACCAGAATCAGAACATGGCTGCACTGTAATTTGTCTGCTGCCCTAGTTTCCTCCTGACATACTGTAAACCGGTTCCGTAACAAGTTTCTTCACTTTTTAAAACTTCTATCCAAAATCCCAATAGCTTTGAGGTCATTTTGAGTGTGAAGGTAACCTACTAATCATGAAACCTTGATAAACGTTCAGTACAGGCCCACATCTGAGTTAAGCAAAGGAATGCAGGATCAATAAACTGTTGAGGTATTGACCAGTCCAATGTGTGCTATTCATCCTCTGTAATAGGGGTGAGCAGCTGAATCTCTGGAGGACTGTGTGGATGACTTTTTTTTTGTATTGTGGATGCTAGAAAACAACCACCAAATGGAATTCAGTTAGAATTTTTTTGTAAAACATTCTTCCACCCTCTTTCTGTCAAAAAAGCTGAACAGTATTCACTGTCTCTTTCTGTCTCCCTCCTCTCTTTGGGTTTATGTTTATGTACAGTGAGGGGAAAAAAGTATTTGATCCCCTGCTGATTTTGTACATTTTCCCACTGACAAAGACATGATCAGTCAATAATTTGAATGGTAGGTTTATTTGAACAGTGAGAGACAGAATAACAACAAAAAAATCCAGAAAAATGCATGTCAGAAATGTTATAAATGGATTAGAACCTTCAGCTCCCTCCACAGATTTTCTATGGGATTAAGGTCAGGAGACTGGCTAGGCCACTCCAGGACCTTAATGTGCTTCTTCTTGAGCCACAACTTTGTTGCCTTGGCCGTGTGTTTTGGGTCATTGTCATGCTGGAATACCTATCCACAACCCATTTTCAATGCCCTGGCTGAGGGAAGGAGGTTCTCACCCAAGATTTGACGGTACATGGCCCCGTCCATCGTCCCTTTGATGCGGTGAAGTTGTCCTGTCCCCTTAGCAGAAAAACACCCCCAAAGCATAATGTTTCCACCTCCATGTTTGACGGTTGGGATGGTGTTCTTGGGGTCATAGGCAGTATTTCTCCTCCTCCAAACACGGCGAGTTGAGTTGATGCCAAAGAGCTCGATTTTGGTCTCATCTGACCACAACACTTTCACCCAGTTCTCCTCTGAATCATTCAGATGTTCATTGGCAAACTTCAGACGGGCCTGTATATGTGCTTTCTTGAGTAGGGGGACCTTGCGGGCGCTGCAGGATTTCAGTCCTTCACGGCGTAGTGTGTTACCAATTGTTTTCTTGCTGACTATTGGTCCCAGCTGCCTTGAGATCATTGACAAGATCCTCCCGTGTAGTTCTGGGCTGATTCCTCACCGTTCTCATGATCATTGCAACTCCACGAGGTGAGATCTTGCATGGAGCCACAGGCCGAGGGAGATTGACAGTTATTTTGTGTTTCTTCCATTTGCGAATAATCGCATCAACTGTTGTCACCTTCTCACCAAGCTGCTTGGCGATGGTCTTGAAGCCCATTCAAGCCTTGTGTAGGTCTACAATCTTGTCCCTGACATCCTTGGAGAGCTCTTTGGTGTTGGCCATGGTGGAGAGTTTGGAATCTGATTGATTGATTGCTTCTGTGGACAGGTGTCTTTTATACAGTTAACAAGCTGAGATTAGGAGCACTCCCTTTAAGAGTGTGCTCCTAATCTCAGCTCGTTACCTGTATAAAAGACACCTGGGAGCCAGAAATCTTTCTGATTGAGAGGGGGTCAAATACTTATTTCCCTCATTAAAATGCAAATCAATTTATTATTCTGTCTCTCACTGTTCAAATAAACCTACCATTAAAATTATAGACTGATCATGTCTTTGTCAATATACAAAATCAGCAGGGGATCAAATACTTTTTTCCCTCACTGTATGCCTGCACTTCAGATATGCTTTTTAGGGTAAAGAAATCTGAAATATACTTGAGTAGCCTAGTCATTGACTTTTGGCAATCATTTCAGTTAGGGAGTAATGTAAAATATAATACATAGCTGTTTGAATTTAATGTCAAAACACACATTTTAAGGTGTGACTGAGCATTACATTTACAGTGCAGACCAGTGCATTCTATGCCTTTTCATCTCTTTCACATCCCTGCCATTACATGTCTATCAATACCTCCAGAGCTCAGGGTTTCCTCAAAATGGAGGGGGAGAGATACAAGGATAGAGAGAAAGTTTTAGGAGAAATGTGCGAGAGAGAGTGCTAGAGACATGATTACATAATCTCAATCAATCAATCAATCAATCAAATGTATTTATAAAGCCCTTTTTACATCAGCAGATGTCACAGAGTGCTATACAGAAACCCAGCTTAAAACCCCAAACAGCAAGCAATACAGATGTAGAAGCAACTGTTGCTATACGGCATTTACATTTCTCCCAAGGGTAGACTTGGCTGACACAGCACGTTTAACACATTAAACCTAATTGCACACTTTGGGAAAGAAACAGTGTATACACAAATGTGAAATCTCCTGGTCAAATGACTAAAGCTGCCGTATCACAAATGTCCATGTAACACAAAAAAACAGGAGAAATGCTCGCACAGGGAGTTGTGATTCCAAGCTGTTACTTTGTTTCCATGAGGAGTGGTCTCCCACCTGTCCTGTGAGGTTTGGAGCACATCCAGTCGTGCCTAGGGGGGATACCAGCATCACTCTGGGATTGGGAATGTTCTCTGTTTGCCAGGGATCTGTTGGAGGTGTGGAGAGAACTATCCCAGCCTGTGGGGAGCAGACTACTGCTACCATGTCCCATAGAGATGCAGATAACATGTTACAATGAGTTTGTGGCACAGTCAGTCAGAAACACAATATACTCATAGCAATACATTTTGAGATTATTGAAGCTTTAGTGAAGGTACAGTTTAATACTCTGTAGATTTCATGAGAGGTGTCATGCCCATAGGGGGCACAGGGGCACATGCCCCCTCATATTTGTCCTGTTAAAAAAATATATATGTAAAAAATTGTAACATTTTTATTGTTTCTCTGTAATATTACTAGCCACCTAGCAATTTTACGAAGTTGGCCCAGATAGGTTCCAAATCTCCCAACCTCATAACTAGCTACCAAGAAGCCATTTCAGGCTATCAGTCAAGTTAGAGTAGCTAGCTTGTCCAACTATCTTAGCTGGCATGCCTGTTGGGAAGGTTGGTAGACTTTAGAAAATAAATCAATTACTAAATGTTCTGAATAAGACTTGCATTCCTTTAAATTTGAGCAGATATGCGGAGAACCATATTTAGTTTCTATAAAAAAATAACCACCAGTCAGGAGGTATGCTCAAGAGGTATGCTTAAATATGCTAAATAATAAACATTTTGTTTTACATAGAATTAAGCATAATGATTTATGGCTCTAGATTGCAGGACAAAGCTGTTTCAGGTGTTTGAAAAATGCCAAATTCTCCAATTCAAACCCCAGCCATCCTGATGTAATTTGTTCCCCCTCAGATTTTTGGGGTGCATGACACCCCTGGATGTCATCATGGCAGTGTGTGTAGAGTAATGACATTAAAATAGATTTGCCTCAAACTGTAGGCGTATCCCATATTTTGTTACAGCCACACTTACTGTAAGTGCAAATCTTTTTATGCCTTGTTTTGCAAGATTAGTTGAATCTGGTTTTAGTAGAGTTAACTCTGCTTTTTTGTCAATAGAGTGTTGCCATGGGAAACTTTCATTTCTATTTTCCCATTTCTTTAGAGAACATGGTTAACCAAAACAGCTCTTAATGTTCAGTTTTTACCTCTTACCGTCAAAGTAGAGCCCTTCACAGGCATGAATTTTAAGCCCTACCCATGCCCACAACGTTCAGGCCTTACCCTACCCAGGCCCGATTGCTTCTGCCAAATTTAAGGCCCGGGTGGGCTGTTAAGGTGACCGTATTACCGCCACACCGGCAGTCACAAGTCATAACCGCAGTCAAATTCCATGTGACCATTTAGTCAAGGTAACTAGGCTTCTCCAAACTCTGATGCTGCTGATGGTCATTAGTGGCCTACCAAACATGCTAACTGCCTGGTACTCAGCACTCTAATGTCCCTCTAATCACTCTGACATCAATTTATTTTTCTAAAATCAAATCAAAATACTTAATGAGAGCCCATGAGCTCATGTTACGCAACATTTCTATAGGCTATGCAATTGCGTGAGAAAACAGATTTTGATGGCCTCTATTTAAAAAGAGGAGGATCCCATCAGCTTTCTATAGGCTAGGCCTACTATATATATTTATTTATTTATTTATTTATTTATCAACTTTCCTAATATAAAGCACATTGCTAAGCTTCCTCCATTCGCTATTTAATGCATAATTTTTTTTTTCTTCCCATGTTCCATGTTCCAACACAGGTGCATGATAACGGTCCATTCTAAATCAAAACAAAATTTCAACAAATTTTTTATTTTGTATATGTAAAGACAACATTAAATTGAGAATAGTCTGATGGGTGACAATATTAGCCTATCACTTGTGAATTATGTAGTCTCACTTGTGAATGATTCCCAGCGTCTGCAGTAAGGCAAGAAACAGCGTATGCTTTTTTATTGCGACTTTTTCAAATCATAGTCGCACACCTCATGTAGTCTAGCCATAGGCCTATATGTCTTGATAAGGTTAGTATCACAACTAAAGTGGCCAAATAACTTCTTAACATTAAGCACATTAATCCGCTTTACAACCAGTGTAGAGCCTAACTGGCATACATAGGCGGCACATGATTTTCAAGTTTGGGGAAGATAATTTTCACCATAATAATGCACCTTTATAATAAAGCATTGCATGCATAATCGCATATGCGGTCACTTTTGAGAACAGTGTTTTCCCGCTAATTGATTGCATTTTGGAACATTCGCGCCTATAGCCTACTGCTGTGTGTGCATTGCTGCGCTTATAATGTGAAGAAATAAGCTAATAGTTTATCATCATTTTAAGCTAAATGGTCTGATCGGTTGCATCAGCCTCATTGCTTTTAAAATATTTTTTTGATATGAGTGGTTGTATTAATTTGGGATCTATCGCATCCCACAACTGTCCCAGAGTATGTTTGGAATATTTATTTCTCGCACAGAAGGACAAGTTGACCAATAGAATAGGTTAACTTTGTACTATGGGGGATATTAGATTGACATAGGCTAGTGCTTTTGCTGTTTGTTAGGCCTACTCATCTTGTTGGCTGATGAAAAGTAGGTTAATTATGGACAGTTCTACTAACATCTTCAATGTGCACCTCAAAATTCGATAAGAGGGTCGCACGCAGTTGCGTCCCCGACGTGTCTGTCTTCACTTGTTGCATACTTCTTAGCTGAGATGCCTGTGAGAAGGACCCGATCACGTGACGGGCATTGGCTAATAAGAATTGAGAGAGCCATGTGAGTGAGAGGGGCTTCGAAGCCCAAGGGCACAACTCAGCCCAAGGGCACAACGGCATCTTTGGCCACAAAAGGCATGGATTTTTGGGGGAGCATTACGGCCACACAAGGGGGATGCCGCCGGAAAATTCGAGGCTTGGTGAGAATATATTATCAAGTGCTTGTGAAATTGTGAATGAGAGACTGATGAAGTATGTGGAGCATGCACAAGAAACAAATCAGAGCTCATGCCTTTCATGCAACTTTTTTCAAATCATCATTACAGTCGCATCATGCAGCCTTATAATGTATTAAAATCAAAACATACAGTATAGCCCAACGTTTGTATCACAACTAAAGTTGCATAAAAAACCCTAAATTAAGCATATAGGAGGACCTGTTTCTTTGTTAACCGCTCAATACAGAATAGCCACGTGCGCATTTCCTTTGAAATCGTTTGGAGAAAATATCCTTTCTATTTTATTCAGCTATGTTCAATTGCATTCTTCATACTATAAAATAATAAAAAAGAATGCCATGGAATTCTTAGCAAATCTTGTCTGCTAAATGAACTAGTTTAGCCCACAGCCATATGGCATAGCCAGATCAGGGCCTAACATAAGGACAACTCAGAGTATGCTATTCTGTTCTTCTGAAATTGACAACATTTTCTTCATATCATGTTTCTTTAGACCTGTCTAAAATAAATAATGGATTTATTGTGATGGTGTAGGCTATATTAAATGGATTTATTAGACTTTTTTAAATGTAGATGTTCCAAAGGTCTGCATTAGTGGCTTGTAAGCGTGGAAGCCAGGAGAGGCTAAACGTGTTTATGTTAATTAACGGTCAATTACCGTGAGACTGGCAGTTATTTGCTCGACAATCACCGGCTGACAAAGTTTCATGGCCGCCACAGCCCTAGTGCCCGGCTCTGCCCGAAATCAGAAATAACTTCCTCCATCAGTAAATCCATTAGATCCTCTCTGTCTGTCACTCGCTGTGCATGCGCTCTGCTCATGGCGGCTCTGGTCTGTGAGTATCCATAGCAACGGCTCCACTTCCGCTGCTCTGCTCAATGACGAGACATGAGAGAGCAGTTAGCTGTTAGCTCCTTTTCATCATTCTAAACTCTGACAAAACTCAAAGAACATTATTATTTTCTGTGAAATAAACTCTCTACCCGGCCCTAACCTGATGTATAATGTTGGGCTCGGGTCGGGTAGCAGAGCTCTACCTTAAAGGACAATAATGAGCGCATTCCCCTTTCTGTGGAGGGGGAAATACCAAGGTCCAAAAGAGATTTAAAGTTTCAGCAACGGCAGTAGAGAAACAGAGAGAGAAACAGAGAGAGAAACAACCACAAAACAAAAAAACCTTAGCTGGAAACCCTCTCATGACCTGATGAAGATCGAACTCAGATCGAAACGCTGTATTTTTTGTGCATCTGATTAAATCACCATGGGAGCATACCAGTTGCGGACATTCTTTTTTTCTTTAACCCTCTCAAACAACCATACCGAAACAGACAGAATGGCTCTGGGTCTGCCCATCTTGGCCTGGGACTGTTTGTGCACCTGGTTACTTTTGGCCCCCTCTGGTCCACTTTGGCCTTGTCCCAGTCCCCTGGCCTAGATACGCATGTGATTTTGGGCTTGCTGTTCACATCATCAGTCCCTCTCCAGAGCACATCTAGAACAAGGCAGGGCAGGACTGCATCTGGAGCTGAGCAGGCTTGTTACTGTAGTACTCCCATGTGCATTGGTTTACTGCAGCAATGCAATTATTTATTAGACTAGGAAACTCGAAAGTCGGTGAGCGGGACGCAAGCAGGTACACACTTGACACTTAGGCACACGCACGTTCGCACAATTACCAATTAATGCGCTCATGTATTCATGCACACGACACGCCACATGCGGTCATGAACACAGACACGTACGTACACACACACCCAAACACATGTAGGCAAACTTGCAGGCATGCACGCATGTACAGCAGAATGATTGTTTTTGTGATCTTGTCATAAAATATCATTTGATACAGAATGCCTACTGGGCACAGCCTATTCAATGTCTATTCCACATTGGTTCAACGTCATTTCATTGAAATGACGTGGCAACAACGTTGATTCAACCAGCGTGTGCCCAGTGGGTGGCCTCTCCTTCATGCACATCTGTTGCCCTAACTCAATTATAATATTGGGTTACTCCATTTTACTCAGTAAAACGACTCGATGATCATGGTTCGAGGACTGTGTCTGAGACTAGGTTTAACATGTCTAGAACTCTTCATGCAATTAATTTCGTACACTAATACACACAGCGCTGTGAGTTCTGGGGGTTGTTGCTGTGAGTGTGTTTTCAGATGACTGTGGTGAGTGACGTAAGAGATCAACGTGGGCCTGTGTCTGGTGACTGGTACATAGTAGATCTTCGGAGGCTATGTAATTACAGCCCACATTGTAGTCATTTAATTGGGAGGTCGTCTGTAAGAGGTCATGACCACCAAGTGCTTCTCCTCCCAATGATCTCATCTACATTCCTCCACTTTGAGCTTCCTCTCATTTAGTGCTGATAACTAAATGGCTTTGTTTGTCACATAACTATCAAATATACTTTATTACCACCAGTAATCGATTTAAGTTTGAAATAACATTGACCATTAAAAAAAAATCGACATAGGACTGTATCTGGATGTTTGCCACAAGTGTCCATCCATTCATTTTATAAGACAAAAGTTAAGTCCTTTGCATTCTCTTTATTTCCAGATGCAGATCCTGGACAAGTTCCCAGTGGAGGGAGGGAGGAAGGACCCAAAACAGAGAATCATTCCCTTCTTACCAGGTGAGCATGCCGGCATGTACAGAAGACATACTGCACTCATCAACAAGTCTCACTGGGCAAAAACGGGTTTAATCAAAGTTTTTTCCATGTCATTTTAACCAAAATAATCAATGTGATGACGTTGAAACAACGTGAAACACTGATTGGATTTGCAAAAAACATCAACATAAGGGCATTTCGTCTTTTTTTTTATTCAACTTTTAACCTAAATCTAATGACATATTGTTTTTTTGTTGATTTCACATTGAATTCACCTTAATTGACAACTCAAACAAATTTTAATCAAAACTAGACGTTGAACTGGGGGAACAGCAGCATTTTAAAGGTGGGGGTTTGACACCACATTGAAACAAAATGCTATGAAACGCAAGAACACACAGAAAGGACCTGCTTCTCTATCATTTGGAATAGAAATTGGTTTGCTATAACATAGCACATTTCTAGTTTTTCCACTGTTCCAGCCAGCTGAATAAGGCTGTGGTGTGCTTGTAGTATGGCAGTAGGAGGCTAACCTGATAACCTCAGCATGCCCCAGAGGAGTGAAGAGTGCCATTGTCAGAGAGCTGCACAGCTCCCAAACGTCTGGATAGTGTTGTAAAACCTAGCCAGGGAGTGGGCTCTGTGCACTTACTCACTCTAAAAGAAACAGTCGTCTTACTGTTATCATGACAGACAGAAAGACAGACACATTTCACACATATTTGACATTTGTCTTTTTCATGAAATCTTGTCTCGAGTACTACATACTATTTCGAATAGGCCTACTACATAATATGCCAGACTGTTTCTTAAAAAGTCCACTGCCAAATGCCTGGGTCTGGGCTAGTGTCATGCCACCTGGTGATAATTTTAGAAACAGCACATTTAATGACAACTCAAAGTTCTGTATCTCTTTTACAGGTAAACTCTTATTTCGGCGAAGTCAAGTCAGAGACGTGGCTGTGAAAAGGTTGAAGCATCTTAATGACTACTGCAGAGTAAGAACAAACTATCTTGTTTTTGTCTTTGCAGTAAATTATGTGCTGTTTGCTGCTTTTAAGAGCAACTGCTCATTAACTCTTCCCACCTGCGAACATATACACGAGACACCCACGTCAATCCACACCCCGAAACCAACACCCGTTTGAATTTCGTCATGGCCGCTATAATTTCTAAATTAACCAAATCTAAAATGAAGCCAAATCAGGAAGTGCAGTCACCCTTCAATGACTGGCAAGAGGTCTTTCTATTACTTATAGCTGACTACAGTAAGTAGCCACATCTCACACTGTACAGTCATTTCTCTAATTGATGGTTTAGTTTTAATGTCTTTGTAGCATGTTTGCTGTGGAAGAGAGAAGCTACTGTATCTCCACCACCAGCATCCACAGGAAAGTCTAGCTCGATCTGCTCTTACAGTATGTCATTTCTTTATATAGTGGGTTTATATAGAAAACGGGGGAAATAGGGGCACACAGCTCAAACGCAGGATGTGTAGAACAGAATGATTCAGCATGTGAGATGGAGAAATGAACACAGCTGGCCACCTGACCTCATTTGTGACCGACCTGGCTCGATTCGGTCTTATGTAACAACATTTGAAATTGTGTTTTTTACATTGGATAAAAGTAGAGACTCAGAGCTAGAAAATTGTATATCATACACTACAGTTGAGGAACAATGGGAAAGTAATTCTGCTTTGAAAGTTGATAAACTTGTAACCACACTTTTGAGAAAATGGCCTTGAATGTTTTAGTACCTACTGGAAAGCTCTTCTTTGTCTACACCCAATCAGCATCATTCACACCCTCTTAAGCTTTAGCCCCACCCATCTCTTTAAGGATTCACATGTGAGGCTATGTACTAAACAACCAAAGATTTCAAGACTAAAGGCTGGCTTATACTACGGGTGTGTTGGTAAATTTAATCTGGAGTGCCAGAGTGTGCTCTGGGGGTTCGTAAACTCAGAGCGTTGTCAGATTGTCCGTTCGTAAATTCAGAGCGTTTCGCTCTCGGAGCGTTCAGAGCGCACATTGGATGCTCTGGCCGAGGAATTAGGGTTCATCCGAGCCTTCTGACCTAACAACACCAGTCAAGCACCCAAGCTAACTGGCTAATGTTGGCTAGCTTGCTAGCTACTTCCAGACACAAATGAGAGAACAGCTCACTCTGACCATTTTACTCGCCCTAGCAGAGCTGGTTAGGCTGTTTGTATGTTATCCAGAGCGTTGGTGACTGCAACTGTGCTGCTGGCAACAATTTTAAATACGCTTCTTTTGCCAATGTTTACTGACACCGGCCAGGAGTAGGTAGCCATAGCTACAGTTGAAGTCAGATGTTTACATACACCTTAGCCAAATACATTTAAACTCAGTTTTTCACAATTCCTGACATTTAATCCTAATAAAAATTCCCTGTCTTAGGTCAGTTAGGATCACCACTTTAAATTAAGAATGTGAAATGTCAGAATAATAGTAGACAGAATGATTTATTTCAGCTTTTATTTCTTTCATCACATTCCCAGTGGGTCAGAAGTTTACATACACTCAATTAGTATTTGGTAGCATTGCCTTTAAATTGTTTAACTTGGGTCAAACGTTTCGGGTAGCCTTCCACAAGCTTCCCACAATACGTTGGGAGAATTTTGTCCCATTCCTCCTGACAGAGCTGGTGTAACTGAGTCAGGTTTGTAGGCCTCCTTGCTCACACATGCTTTTTCAGTTCTGCCCACACATTTTCTATAGGATTGCGGTCAGGGCTTTGTGATGGCCACTCCAATATCTTGACTTTGTTGTCCTTAAGCCATTTTGCCACAAATTTGGAAGTATGCTTGGGGTCATTGTCCATTTGGAAGACCCATTTGCGACCAAGCTTTAACTTCCTGACTGATGTCTTGATGTTGCTTCAATATATCCACATCATTTTCCTTCCTGATGATGCCATCTATTTTGTGAAGTGCACCAGTCCCTCCTGCAGCAAAGCACCCCCACAGCATGATGCTGCCACCTCCGAGCTTCACGGTTGGGATGGTGTTTTCAGCTTGCAAGCCATCCCCTTTTCCCTCCAAACATAACGATGGTCATTATGGCCAAACAGTTCTATTTTTGTTTCATCAGACCAGAGGACATTTCTCCAAAATGTACGATCTTTGTCCCCATGTGCAGTTGCAAACCGTAGTCTGGCTTTTTTAGGGCGGTTTTGGAGCAGTGGCTTCTTCCTTGCTGAGCGGCATTTCAGGTTATGTCGATATAGGACTCGTTTTACTGTGGATATAGATACTTTTGTACCTGTTTCCTCCAGCATCTTCACAAGGTCCTTTGCTGTTGTTCTGGAATTGATTTGCACTTTTCTCACCAAACTACGTTCATCTCTAAGAGACAGAACGCGTCTCCTTCCTGAGCGGTATGACGGCTCTGTGGTCCCATGGTGTTTATACCTGCGTACTATTGTTTGTACAGATGAACGTGGTACCTTCAGGCGTTTGGAAATTGCTCCCAAGGATTAACCAGTCTACAATTTTTTTTCTGAGGTCTTGGCTGATTTCTTTAGAATTTCCCATGATGTCAAGCAAAGAGGCACTGTGTTTGACGGTAGGCCTTGAAATACATCCACAGGTACACCTCCAATTGATTCAAATGATGTCAATTAGCCTATCAGAAGCTTCTAAAGCCATGACATCATTTTCTGGAATTTTCCAAGCTGTTTAAAGGCACAGTCAACTTAGTGTATGTAAACTTCTGACCCACTGGAATTGTGATACAGTGAATTATAAGTGAAATAATCTGTCTGTAAACAATTGATGGAAAAATTACTTGTGTCATGCACAAAGTAGATGTCCTAACCGACTCGCCAAAACTATAGTTTGTTAACAAGACATTTGTGGAGTGGTTGAAAAACAAGTTTTAATGACTCCAACCTAAGTGTATTTAACCTTCCGACTTCAACTGTAGGTCTATCGACAGTTGTCGCAGTGACATCATGAACATTCTATTTAAATAGTTACTTGCATAGTGGAGTCTTTTGTTTAGACATGTAGCTAGCTAACTAAACAATGAACCATAATCCCAACTCATAACATTATTACCCTGCATGAATGTGGCAGTAATCACACGTATTTATTGTGGAAAAACCGAAATCTGCCATATGAGCTGTGAATGCAGAGCCTTGTGACAGATAGTGCTGAGTCAAAAAGAGTAAAGTTCTAAAATGTAATTATCTGATTTACACCAAATATAAATACTGTGTGTCCCTAATTCTATATTTACATTATACATTTGAGTCATTTAGCAGATGCTCTTATCCAGAGCGACTTACAGGAGCAATTTGAGTGCCTTGCTCAAGGGCACATCGACAGGTTTTTCACCTAGTCGGCTCGGGGATTAGAACCTGCGACCGTTCGGTTACTGGCACAATGCTCTTAACCACTAAGCTACCTGCCGCCCCCCTATATCTTATGCATCTATTCATTGTGTATGCAAACAGTTTATTTCTAAAGTACTTTTCAAAGCAGACACGGTTGTAGTCCTGTCAGAGAGGGTTTTGGTAGCTATCGTCCTCCATCTGTTTTCCTCTGTCTTAGCCCTGCTCCGGGCTCTGATCCCTCTTCCTTCCCCTTCTCGTCTTCCAGACCTCCCCTTCATCCTCTCAGCCGATGAGTAACAGGGCCTTACTGTAAACCAGGGTTCCCCAACTGGTGGCTCTTAGGCCGAAATCAGCCTGTGGGTGATTTTATTTGCCCCCCCCCCCCCCCCCCCCCCCCGAGGTTTTCTGAACAAAATAAATAAATAACTAAATATATACAATATATTTTTTAAGAAATGTAATTGTTGGACATAAAAGACTGTAAAAACACCAGAAAATCAGCTCGAAGTGATTTTAAATCTGTTCAAAAGTATTCCCATGCTTAGTAGAGAGATATACTGTATGTGATCATATACAAATGTAATCAAGGTTTGAAATAATCATATTTTAGTCTGTTTGGGCTTCTTGCGGTCAATTTGCAGTCTACAAATTATTTGTAATTATGTTCCGGCCCCCTGACCATCCTCTCAGGAAGAAATCGGCCCGCGGCTCAATATAGTTGATGATCCCTGCTGTAAACTGTGCTATCCGCATCTGTACTATACAGGAACACACCCACAGTCCTTTTGTAATGTAGTGGGAGGCTTCCACGTATGGAGTCAGTCAGTTGGTGAAATTCAGGGTACATGTGACCACATTAGCTGAAAAAGTTGTCTTGATAATGTGTAATGAAGTCTTGTCATTGTAAATGATCATTATCCTATTTCACAATTATACTATTTTCCATCACTCTCCTTCTCGCCCTCCTTCCCTCTCTCCCTCCAGGCCGTGATGAGGCTCCCTAACCAAATCTCCCAGAGTGAGGAGGTGCTGAGGTTCTTTGAAACCAAGGCTGAGGACCTCAACCCTCCTAAAGAGTGAGTTTCATTTACCTGGCTGTATCTCTCCTTACAGTAGTCACTGAATAATAACACATTGCTATCCCACATATTGTCAGGTTTTATAGGGCGTCTATTTCTCAATTTCTTGCTTTTTACCAGGTTCTTCATGTTGTACTTTAAGGTATCAAACACGGCCCCCAAGTACAACAATAAAGATGTTTAATTTAGGTTACTATGTACTTAGGCAGTTCATTTGCATGAATATGATAATACAAAGCATATGTTTTATTTGCGTGTGCGTGCAAGTGTCAGTGCACTGGCAGCTGGTGCAGACGTCTCTCACCCACACTGACATGTATTGATCTCCAAGTGACCTCATGTCACATAGATGATGGATGGTCAGCCAGGCTCTGGCCTTTTATTAATGATGATACATGGGAGGTGACACCTGATCCCAGCGCAGTGCTTATTGTTCAATAGTATTATGAGAGGGTGGTTAAGTTCAGGTCTCAGGTCAGACAAGGCATTACTATAATTAATTTATCATCCTCAGATTTATACCAGTAGGGTTTGGAATTTGGTGTCAATGGACATTTGATAAGTGGAAGCTTATATCTGCATTTAGTATTTTTTTCTCTGTAGATTTGGCCTTGTGTTGTAGGTTATTGTCCTGCTGAAAGGTGAATTCCTCTCCCGGTGTCAAGTGTAAAGCATACTGAAGCAGGTTTTCGTCTAGAATCTTGCCTGTGCTTAGCTCCATTCCATTTATGTTTATCATTAAAACTTCCTACTCTTTGCCGATGTCAAGCATACCCATACCATGATGCAGCCACCACCATGCTTGAAAATAAGGAGACACCCACTGGGCACAGATGTCAATTCAACGTCTATTCCACATTGGTTCAACGTAATTTCATTGATTCAACCAGTGTGTGCCCAGTAGGCAGTTAAACATTGATGTGTTGGATTTGCCCCAAAAGTGTATTCCTTTGCTGTGTTTTTAAGCAGTAATATGTCAGTGCCTTGTTGCATACAGGATTCATGTTTTGGAATATTTTATTCTGTATATTTGTATTCTTCTTTTCACTCTGTCATTTAGGTAGGTCATTATTGTGGAGTCACTTCAATGTTGAGCCATCCTTAGTTTTATTCATTTACAGCCATTAAATTCTGTAGCTGTTTTAAAATCACCTTCCTTCCTGTCCTGCAGCTCAGTTTAGAAGGATGACTGTATCTTTGTTGTGTCTGGGTGTTTTAATATAACATCCACAGCATGATTATTAACTTGACCATCCTTAAAAACATATTAAATGTCTGATTTGTGAGAGGTGGTGGGATTTCTTACTAAATGTAGTGGCTAAATTGTCCAATATAATTGTCCCAATACAATTTCCTTTCTAATCCTTTAGCCACAATGGAGAGTGGTGAAATGTTAGTCTTGATGCATACAAATCCAATGTCCAGAGTTTGATTCAAGTTGAAAAATAATAATACATTTATTTGTCGTCCTTCTGGATACAAAATTGTATAGAATTCTACCAAAACGAATTCTGATCATTAAACTAAAGAAACAAACAGCATGGTAAACATGGCCTGGTATGGTCAAAAGACTTAGCTGGAAAATACTTAGTTGGAATTAAAAACTGGATTGTTTGGAAAGACGCGTAACCAAGGAACAAAGAACTCGCGTGGCCTCAAGACTACATCGTAGAAAAGACGCACTTGGGTATTGTCACGATCGTCTAATGAGGGAGACCAAGGCGCAGCGTTGCGAGCGAACATATTTACTTTAATAGTTAAAGCACCACACTCAAAAATACAAAACAATAAACAACGAATGCGTGACGTCTATGGTCCAACACGAAACCACACGAACAAAATCCCACAACCCGAAAGAAAAACAGACAGATTAAATATGGCTCCCAATCAGAGACAAACAGCCGACAGCTGACACTCGTTTGCCTCTGATTGGGAGTCACACCGGCAAACATAGAAAATTGACAACCTAGAACACCCACCAAAGAAACAGAAAACATAGAATGAACACACCCTGGCTCAACATATTGAGTCCCCGAGCCAGGGTGTGACAGTACCCCCCCCCTAAAGGCGCGGACTGCGACCGCGCCTAAATACGAGCAAAAACAGGGGAGGGCTGGGTGGGCATTCCTCGGCGGTGGCTCCGGCTCCGGGCTAGATCCCCACTTCCTCTCCAACCCCTCAAAGTACCCCTGGTCCTGTCTAGCCCCGCTGGCCGGAGCCGGACTGACGACACGCGCCCCTGGCCTGGTGCGTGGAACAGGAACGGACCGGACCGGGCTGACGATACACACCCCTGGCTTGGTGCGTGGAGCAGGAATGGACCGGAATGGGCTGGCGACGCGCACCACAGACTTGGTGCGGAGAGCAGGAACGAGCCGGACAGGGCTGACGACTCGCATCCCTGGCTTGGTGCGAGTAGCAGGAACGGGCTGGACCAGGCTGACGACTCGTACCCCTGGCTTGGTGCGAGTAGCAGGAACGGGCTGAACCAGGCTGACGACTCGCACCCCTGGCTTGGTGCGAGTAGCAGGAACGGGCTGAACCAGGCTGACGACTCGCACCCCTGGCTTGGTGCGAGTAGCAGGAACAGGCCGGGTCGGGCTGGCGACGCACACCGTAGGCTTTGTGCGTGGAGCAGGGACAGGCCGGGCTGGGCTGGCGACGCACCCCTTAGGCTTTGTGCGTGGAGCAGGAACAGGCCGGGTCGGGCTGGCGACGCACACCGTAGGCTTTGTGCGTGGAGCAGGGACAGGCCGGGCTGGGCTGGCGACGCACCCCGTAGGCTTTGTGCGTGGAGCAGGAACAGGCCGGGCTGGGCTGGCGACGCACACCGTAGGCTTTGTGCGTGGAGCAGGAACAGGCCGGGCTGGGCTGGCGACGCACACCGTAGGCTTTATGCGAGAAGCTTGGATGGGCCGGACTGGGCTGGCGACGCGCACCACAGACTCGGTGCGGAGCGCAGGAACGGGCCGGGCTGGGCTGTCGACGCACACCGTAGGTTTGGTGCGGGGAGCAGGAATAGACCGGACCGTACTGGGGACACACACCACTGGCTCTACACCGGGATCTGGAACGGGCCGGACCGGACTGGCAACACACGCCAGTACCTCTCGCCGTGCCTCTACACCTTCCATCCCCTCTTCTACCAGTGGCCCCCGTAACCTGGCGGCCTCCTCTGCAACCCCGCTGGACCGCTCCATAGCGGCCTCCTGCTGCCCCGAAATTTTCTGGGGGTCTCTCCTCCCCGTGGACCAGGCCTCCAACATTCTCTCCCACTTCTCGCTCCTCTGTCTCCAACCCTCTTCACTCAGCTCCTCAATGGGCTTGCCCCAGTCGAAGCTGCCACGGAGATCTATTAGCGATGGCTCCTGGACACGCTGCTTGGTCTGGTCTTGGTGGGATTTTCTGTCACGATCGTCTAATGAGGGAGACCAAGGCGCAGCGTTGCGAGCGAACATATTTACTTTAATAGTTAAAGCACCACACTCAAAAATACAAAACAATAAACAACGAATGCGTGACGTCTATGGTCCAACACGAAACCACACGAACAAAATCCCACAACCCGAAAGAAAAACAGACAGATTAAATATGGCTCCCAATCAGAGACAAACAGCCGACAGCTGACACTCGTTTGCCTCTGATTGGGAGTCACACCGGCAAACATAGAAAATTGACAACCTAGAACACCCACCAAAGAAACAGAAAACATAGAATGAACACACCCTGGCTCAACATATTGAGTCCCCGAGCCAGGGTGTGACAGGTATGTAAAGTAGCCTAACAAGTGCACAAACTTTTGGATTGATTAATGGGTACATTTAAGTGTATGGCTACATTCATCATTCATTCAAAGTCATGGAAAGTTTGCTATTGGAGTGACTTATTTTGACAAAGTATTGAACGCACAGAACCCGATTTCCAATCTCTGCTGCCTAATTCTTTGAAGTGTGAATATTAATTATATAGTGACACTGTTAAAAGGAGCGTAGCGCACCGGAGTGCTTATTGATCCATGTTCATGGTTGCATATTGAAATATAGATAGCCTATTGAAGAAAGATGGCTGAAGAGAATTCTACCAGTGCAGATGGCGTTGTGTATGGGGGCGACATGGCACTAGTGGAGGAGCCTTTATCAGAAAAGGACTTGAAGGAGAAAGTTTCCTTAATGCGCAAATCCAGAAGGGGTAAACCGGGAAAGCTGACTCGCCAAATGAACATTGTTACTGATCGGATGACTGACAATAAGAATATTGAAGTTGTAAAAAAAATAAACATGCTCCAGTTGAATGGATACAAATTATTTATTGATTCCTATCATCACATGATACCCGAGTATAAAATAAAAAATGATATGTTGAATTGGTATGAACCCAAATGGCAGCATATTAAGGCATTTCTTGTTACTGTGTCCCAATGGATCTCAGGTGCAGCCCCAGCACCAGAGAAACCTGATGAATGCACGGATGAGAAAGATGATGTTAAACCTACTGACAGTGTGTCCCAAACCTCCAGCCGCAGGTCTAACAGGAGTTCACGCTCAGGTGTATCCTCCACATCCTTAGCCTGCATCCGAGCAGAGGCTGAAAGAACAGCATTAATAACAAAGGCTGCTGCTCTTAAGTTCAAACACCATCTAGAGCAGGGGTGTCAAAGTCAAATGGACGGAGGGCCAAATAAAAAATTTAGCTACAAGCCGAGGGCCGGACTGTTCGAATGTTCATTGAAAAATTTTTAAATGACGCATATAGTCTAGTGAACCTAATTGAACCTACTGAAAACCTAACAAATATATTCCAATATGATCAGATAAATAAAGCAATATTTTCTTATGGCTCTGTCAGTAATCTTTAATTTTCAACAGACACAAAAGACAAATTTCCTTTATATAAAAATCCCCATAACATGAACATTAAATGAAAGAAACCGGTATTCAAGGCACCATCAGTAGCCTATATTTTCTATTTTAGCAAAAGTGGGCTAAATTTACTTCAAAGAAA